GGCAGCCTTGGTAGCCCAGGAGCCATATTTACAAGAAAGGGTTTAGGGTTTAGGGTTTAGGGTTTAGGGTTTAGGGTTTAGGATTTCATATGCAAAAGGGGATACCCTTTGTTGGGGCTTGGTTAATTACTTTGTCGGGAAGCCTAGAACCCTAAGCCTCAACCCTAAACCCTAAACCCAGAACCCTCAAAGGGCAAAAGGGTACCACTGGGCCACCGCAAGCAGCGTGTCCACGCGCAGGAGGTCCACGGGGAGTCCGCGGAGCGCGCTGCGCAGCGTCTCTGAGCTAGACTCGGAGTGCTCCTCCATCCAGTTGAGGGTGAGCATCATCGTGGAGTTCCTGGGGTTTAGGGTTTAGGGTTTAGGGTTTAGGGTTTAGGGTTTAGGGTTTAGGGTTTAGGGTTTAGGGTTTAGGGTTTAGGGCTTACGGTTTAAGGTTTAGGGGTTTCGGGTTTCCAGGTGTTTAGGGTTTAGGGGTCTTCAAGGCAGCAAAGGACTGCAAGTTGCTCTGTATACACATTCCAGGGCAATATCTTAACATCGTGATCTAATAATAGTAATAACACTAAAATACGGATGTACTACTTCAATTCATCAGATCATGATGTAATGTTGTGGTTGAACTTTAATGGCGAATAGCATGTTACTATAGTCATACAATAATACAAGGGCAGCCTCACTATACCCTAAATCCTAAACCCTAAACCCTAAACACCTATAAGCCCTAAACCCTAAACCCCTACACCCCTGAAACCCGAAACCCCTAAACTCCTCAACCCCTAAACCCCCCAACCCCTAAACCCTCAAACCCCAAAGGCTCTGAAGCCCTAAACCCCTAAACCCCTAAACACCGAAACCCCTAAATGCCTGAACCCCTTAACCCCTAGACACCTAGACCCCTAAACCCCTAAACCCCTACACCCCTAACACCCCTAACACCCCTAACCCCCCTAACCCCTAGACCCCTAGACCCCTAGACCCCTAAACCCCTAAACCCCTAAACTCCTAAACCCTAAACCCCCTAAACCCCTAAACCACCCCCCCCAAAAAAACCCTAACCCCTAAACCCTCAACCCTCAACCCTAAACCCTAAACCCTAAAACCTAGCTGGCGATCTAGGAGGCATGAAGTGCCGAGGAAGGGGCGGAGGCGCGGTGGAAGCGGGTAGGCCACTTGTCTCAAGTCCGCTGATGTCCGTGCTTTCCTTACTTCGCCAGGTTTAGGATGGTTTAGGGTTTAGGGCTTGGGTTTAGGATGGTTTAGGGTGTAGGGCTAGGGTTTAGGGTTTAGGGTTTAGGGTTTAGGGTTTAGGGTTTAGGGTTTAGGGTTTAGGGTTAGGGTTTAGGGTTTAGGGTTTAGGGTTTAGGGTTTAGGGTTTAGGGTTTAGGGTTTAGGGTTTAGGGTTTAGGGTTTAGGGTTTAGGGTTTAGGGTTTAGGGTTTAGGGTTTAGGGTTTAGGGTTTGGGGTTTGGGGTTTGGGGTTTAGGGTTTAGGGTTTAGGGTTTAGGGTTTAGGGTTTAGGGTTTAGGGTTTAGGGCTAGGGTTTAGGGTTTAGTGCTTAGGGTTTAGGGCTTCTAATAAGCTCCGCATGAGCGCCTAAGCGGGCATGCTGATCGTCATCTCTAGCCCAAAGAAAGTCGTTTGTTGTCTGCTTGTGTATAGGGTCCTTGGTTAAAACGATGGGGGACTAAACCCTGAACCCCTATGGGCCTTAAAGGTTTTTGATTAGGAGCTTGCGGCTTTTAAGGAAACCCACACCCTAAACCCTAAACCCTGAACCCTGAACCCTAAACCCTACGGCATCTTAAGGGGATTTAAGGATTGGGATTCAAGATGCATGGCGCTTAACGTGCATGGGCTTGCAATGGAGTTTGGGATTTGGGGTTCATATGGTTTAGGGTTTAGGTTGGGATGTTCCCCCTTATACTAACAGTCCTTAATAGCGACTATCGTCCCCCCTATTTTGTCATCCCTTGAATGGCCTGTAAGTATTAGGGGGAACATCCCAAGGTGAAAAAAGGGCTTTGGTTTTGCACGAAAAGATCGGCAGTCGAACTAACCCTAAGGGTCCATGTACCTAAAGATTTAGGGTTTAGGGTTTAGGGGTTAGGGTTTAGGGGTCCATGTACCTAAAATGGGGAATACTTGGGCCATAAAGTACCTCCTCTATCGGGACTTTTGGGCCCAAGTATCTACAACATTGTGGTACATGGACCCTTAGGGTACTTGGCTGCACTCAGCAGGGTAGCTATAAATTTAATTTTTAGCTGCCTTCTTAAGAAACCCAATAAACCCAAAAAGGCTAAAGATCGAAAGTTACAGTCAAGCACCACAAAGCTTTAGGGTAAGGAATATACCTTAAATCATCACAGGAACCCTAATGTGATTTAAGGTATATTCCTTAATTGAAAGGTTTTGGAGTCTCTGGGTAGGGTAATGCCGAATAAGCCTTAATAAGAAACCCAATAAACCCAAAAAAGGTAAGGATCTAAAGTTACAGTAAAGCACCACAAAGATACAATATTGTGGTACATGGACCCTTAGGGTAATGCCTAAGCAAGCCTCGGTCGTCAGGAGGTTGTCGAGCTGGTCTTCCAGTCTACTGAGCCGCGCGTCGAAGCGAGATACGTCGGGGCCTGCATTCGAGGGGGAGTAGTCTACTATTGGGTTTCGGGTCTGGGGTTTAGGGTTTAGGGTTTACTATTTGCTTAAATTTGCTTAAATTTGCTTAAGACTACCCCCCCACAAAAAAAAAAAAAAACTCCATGCTAGGGGAATGTAGGGACTGTGATCTTTTCTGTTTTGGGGGGCTGCTCCGAAAGCAGTAGAAGTCGTAGTGGAGGGGAGAAGGAGGGGTGCATCCCTAAACTGTAACCGCAATCGTAGGGCAACACCCTCTGCCCCAAGCCGAGAGCCACAGCTGTGACTTGGGACTCCATTTACATCCAGGCTTCTGGGTTCAGAACTGAAAATTGGGTTTGGAGGGGTTATAGGGCTCATAGGGTTTTGGAGTAGTTGTATATTATTGACAAACGGGTGTTTGTAGTGCAGTGCCTGAGCTGCCCGTTAAGAGGTACTTTGTCAGGGCTTAGGGTTTAAAGGGTAAAGGGTTTAGGGTTTAGGGTTTAGGGTTTAGGGTTTAGGGTTTAGGGTTTAGCGTGTAGGGTTTAGGGTTTAGGGTTTAGCGTGTAGGGTTGAGGGTTTAGAAGAGGTGCAGGCACACTTGCACTGCATCCTAAAGTCGATGGTATGGCGACCTAGGAGTCGCAGATACGGCTTCCTTGGGCTTCCCGAGTCAGCTCGGAAAGCAGAGGATCAAAGGAAACCGTGTTGGGGGCTCCAGTTTGTTTAGGGTTTAGGGTTTAGGGCTTAGGGTTTAGGGTTTAGGGCTTAAAGGGTTTAGGATTTGATGCTGCTTGTAAAGGAACCTTTCATCATCCTAAACCCTTCGGGATTAGCTTCTGCTTGATGGTCCATGGGTAGGTACAGCTCAGGCACTGCACTACAAACAGCCTCTAGTCAATAACATACAACTACTACAAAACCCTATGAGCCCTATAAACCCTCCAAACCCAATTTCAATTCTGAACCCTATATACACTGTAACTGTAAACCCGACAAACCCTATAAAGCCTACAAAACCTGCAAACACAACAAACCTATCAAGCCCTACAAACCCAACAAAACCTATAAACCCAAAAAACCCTCTAGCCAATCTAAACCCTAAACCCTAAACCCTAGTCCCTGAACCCTCAACCCTAAACCTTAAACCCTAACCCTAAACCCTCAACCCTAAACCCTCCCCAAGGCGCTCAAAGGGCTGGCGGGCTCGGCCCGGGTGGTGACGGGCTCGATGCGCGTGTAGGTACCGGGCTCCATGGGTTGATGGATGCGCGTGGCCCCTAACCTTGGGCTTAGGGCTTAGGGTCCAGGCTCTAGGGTTTAGGGTTTAGGGTTTGGGGTTTGGGGTTTGGGGTTTAGGGTTGAGGGTTTGGGGTTTAGGGTTTATAGGGAGTAGGGTTGAGGGGCGGTTTAGGGTCAGGACCTACACGGATCGAGGGTTTGTAGGGTTTAGAGGGTTTACAGGGTGTACGTGGAGGTTCATGGGTGGTTAAAAGCGGGGTTCTGCGTAAGGTAACTACAAATTTAAAATCACCTGGTTCTAGCCTTACTTAGGGTACTGATATGCCTACTTGTAGCTACCCATGAACCTTCAAGTAGGGTCGAGACCTAAAAGAGTTTAGGGCTTTAGGGTTCTAGGGCTTTCGACGTTTTCTAGGTGGGCTTTCGGGTTTTTAAAGGTTCACTTGGTAACCGTTGGGCTCCAGGGCAGGGGCGTCATGTGGGTTTGTGGGGGTCAGGTGATTCCTGGTTGTTCAGGCGTTATGGGCTCAGGGCTTGCTGCAGGGCTCAGGGCTTTTTTGCTGAGAACCCCCTATTTACAAATCCTAGCTCCTTGCGAAAGCCAAGAACTGAAAAAAAAACACTCCAAGCCCGAAACCTTACTTTGCAAAAGCCTCAAAATCCTAAACCCTTAGCCCTAAACCACTGCGCTTCGCGCATTCAGGTCGTGAATGAAGCTGTTCTCTGGGTGCTCACAGGAGTTGGAGCCAAGGGCCGCCCCCAAATTTCCATAAAACCCTGGAAGGATTCAGGGTTTAGGGTTTAGGGTTTAGGGTTTAGGGTTTAGGGTGTAGTAGGGGCATGAGAATCAAGACGATTCGGTTCTCAAGTGAGCCGTAGGTTCTATGGGGTCCCCGCTCTGGGACTTTTTGCAGCCGACAGCAGATTTAATCTGCTACTATAGGGGCCCTGGATAACTAGAAGAGGGTTTTGGGGGTTATTCTAGTATAATTATAAAGGTACCCAAAGGGAACCCTAAACCCTAAACCCTAAACCCCAAACCCTAAACCCGAACGCTAAACCCTAAACCCTAAACCCTAAACCCTAAACCCTAAACCCTAAACCCTAAACCCTAAATTGAACCCTAAGACCCCTCTTTTAGCCGCGCAGGCGTTCTTGCACCTCGCTGCTGTCGCCTCCGCCCTTCCAAGTGCCCCAGGTCACCACGGAGCCATCCGAGCGCAGAGCCGCGAAGGCACCGGCGGTGACGTGAAGGGCCGCAACTTCCTGGAGTTTAGGGTTTAGGGTTTAGGGTTTGGGGTTTGGGGTTTAGGGTTTAGGGTTTAGGGTTCAAGGTTTCAGGTTTAGGGTGTGCTTTGAACCCTTTGGAAACTATCTATGACTATAGGTTCCCTTAAAAAGAAAAAGTTGAACCCTTTGGAAACTATCTATGACTACAGGTTCGCTTCTAAGGGAAACAAAGGGGGTTTAGGGTTTAGGGTTTAGGGTTTAGGGTTTAGGGTTTAGGGTTTAGGGTTTTAAAAGTTGTCCCAAAGCACAACCCAGATGCTTGGAGCTGGTCTTCCACAGCTTCGAAGAACCCGCGGCTATATGCACTTGGCCCAAAAAAGGCCTGAAATGACAGTTCACATAAGCTCCAAAAAAAAAAGAGTACACGTTCAGTTCTACAGGGGATTATCGTATCCCAAAAACTGTAAAGTGTACTCGTTCAGCTACTAAGAGGCTACGGAGTTGTCAGGCTTCAAAGCCGCGAAGCCTAAGGCATTGCCTTGAATGTCCACGACCCCGTTCATGGTAAACTCACCTAGGATGGCCCTTAGGACCCTCTGGAACATATACCTTTGAGTTTTGGGTTTAGGGTTTAGGGTGAAGGGTTTAGGGCTGAATATGATCCGCTTGAACCCAAAAAGGATAAATATAACATGTCCCAAAAAACAACATAGTCACAGTGGCCCCAACAGATGGCGGCCCGATCCGCCCGCAGCGCCACGAAGGATCTGCGGAAGGCACGGACGTCCACGATGTTTCGGAGCTGTCCTTGGACCCGAGCGGAGCCACCCCCACCAGTCTGATCGCCCCAGGTCACTAGCGAACCCTCGCGAAGGAGGGCGGCGAAGGCACAGTCATTGGCATGCAGCGATGCCACGTCCTTCAACCGCTCTTGCACAGCTGTACAGTCGCCCCCGAGTCCCGCTTCCCCCCAGGACACCACCGAACCATCGGACTTCAAAGCAGCAAAGGCAGCTTCAGTTGCTTGGATGTCCGAAACTTTGTGCAGTTGGTCTTGAACAGCGAAGCTGCCGCCTCCTTCAGTGATGGCTCCCCAGGTCACAACTGAGCCGTCGCTCCTCAGAGCTGCAAAGGCCCGGCGCGTGGCCCGGAGGGCCACTACGTTCGTCAGCTCACCCTTCACGCGGCTGCTGTCACCGCCTTCGCAGCTGTTGCCCCAAGTGACCACAGTCCCATCCTCCCGCAGAGCTGCAAAAGCACTTGCGGAAGAGCAGATATCCCGTACGCCTGTCAGCTCATCTCGGACCTTGGAGTCATCTCCTCCGAAATTCTCGAGGCCGAGTGCGCCACCCCAGACCACTACTGCACCATCCGTCCGAAGCGCAGCGAAAGACCTGGACGTCGCGAAGAGGCTCCTGACCCCCTGCAGTCGATCTGAAACCTCAGCTTTGCTACAGCTCGATTTCAGGCCCCAGCAAGACACCGTGCCATCCCGCTTCAGGGCAGCGCAGGCATCCAAACTAGACTTCAGCTGCGCGATATCTCGCAGGTTCTCGCAGAACAGCTCGGAGCAGGCCCGGCCACCCCAAGAAACCACCTGCCCATCAGGAAGCACAGCCAGGAAGACGCCTGCATTTTCGGATGCGAGCGAAAGACGCCAAGCCCCCCCATCGACGAAGGCTTCAAAGTCGGAGAGCAACTGGAGTTTTCTGGCCACTCCCGTCAGAACAGCGCCGTCCTGTATGTTGATCTCCTCGAGCCGATATGTGGGAAGCAACGCTTTGTCGCCCTGGTAGAGGCAACCTTGGTAGCCCAGAAACCATATCATGATAAGGGCACCCATTTTTGGGATTGGTTACTTTATAACCCTAGGGATCCAAGTATACAAATAATACCTACATTGGGGTCTAAAGCTTGTAAATCATACCTACTTTGGGCTATTTGGAGCCTTAGGGTAAGGGAACCTTGAAGCAAAAAAGGGAAATGAGGGTTCCACTGGGCTACCAGGCAACTGATGTGGATGTCCAGAGCTTCCCTTGCCAGCTGCATGAGGTCAAGGACCGTTGCAGACGCATCCACAGATACCCTGGCACTGTGGCCGCTCAGCAACGCCACCTCAACGTCTATCTTGTCCTTGCTCATCGGAAAGTGCGGAAAAGGGCCGTGGATTTGGCCGCAGGACGCTTGAACGAAACGGGCTGCAGCCCTTGAGGATTTGCCCAAACGCTCCTATGTAGCACCTTTCTAAGGTAGTTATAACCCTAAGTCTAAGCCCATACTATAACCCCCAATAGCTATCCCAAAAAGGCACTACACAGGAGCCTTCAAGTTTTTCGGGTGCTTCCCCCTACGAAATGCGTTTGTCGCCCGGACAGCTCAGCCTGCCTGACTTACTTCCGCCACATGCGCTTCGGCCGATTACGTATAATATATACTATCATGAACTATTACATGAATCATAGTATATTATATTCTACATATATATATATATGTATATATATATATATGTAGCCCCCATCTCGGGAAACCATCTAGCCCCTTGCCCTTCGTCGCCCTCATGAGAAGTTTCAACTTCATGAGTACTTCGGGGAGTTTCATATTGGAAACCAGGTCGAGGTTTAACAAGGGATTCTAGCACTTGTTACTCGCATTTGGCTCCCTGAGCTGCTGTCTAGTCCTTACCTATCTTAACAATCAGGGTTTAGGGTTTAGGGTTTAGGGTTTAGGATTTAGGGTTTAGGGTTTAGGGTTTAAGGTTTAGGGTTTAGGGTTTAGGGTTTGCCCAATATCCCGCAGTTCAGGAAGAAGTATTCCGTACAACTTACATTGAGCAAAGGCTTCTGTCACGGTTTGATGAACCTTCCGTCTTCCCAAGGGATCATGTACCTAAATCTAGTATAAACTTGAGCCTTCTGTTGTTAACGGGGTTCGTTCCTTTGCGGTAGCTGCAGAACTCGAGTATATACTCTATAATACTAAGCCCTAAACCCTAAACCCTAAACCCTGAACCCTGAACCCTAAACCCTAAACCCTAAACCCATGGAGCCTTAGGGATCTAAACGATGGGCAAGTCGCTGCAGGCCGCGGATGTTGGCCTCAGCCCGGTCTACACGGGCCCGCACCTGCCATGGATGGGACCACTCCCTACACGTCCATGTACCTATGCAGTGGGTTTGGGGTCGGGGTTTAGGGTTTAGGGATTAGGGTTTAGGGTTTGGGGTTTAGGGTTTAGGGTTTTTGGGTTTAGGGTTTAGGGTGATAGTATATTCTTGGGCCCTAAAGCTACGATATAGGAACCTTTTAAAGCACAAGTATAAACTATACGGGTACATGGGACCTTTGGGACTGCTGCAGAACCAGCACCCTGGGGAGTTTGGGATTTACCTGCGCCTCAACAAGCTACAACTTGGAGTAGGTAGAACCTCTAAAGACCCACAGAAGAGTAGGGTTTAGGGTTTAGGGTTTAGGGTTTAGGGTTGAGGGTTTAGGGTTTAGGGTCTAGGGTTTGGGGTAAAGCCAAGCGGTTCCCAGGATATAGGTCTCAGGGTTTTTGGTGACTCAAGTAGGTCTTGTTGGAAGAATGCCTCAAGCCCGATAAGCCAACAAAACCAAACCGGCTTGGGGAATAGGGTTTAGGGCACCCCAAACCCTAAACCCTAAAACCCTCAACACCAAACCCTAAACGCGTATGCGACCCTAAACCTTAAACCCTAAACCCTAAACTGTAAAAAACCCAAAACGCTAAACCCTAAACCCCAAACCCCTAGACCCCAAACCCCAAAACCCTAAAACCTTAAACCCCTAATTCAACCCTAAACCCTAAACCCGAAACCCTAAAACCCTAAACACAAGAAGCCGAGTTCTCCTAAACCCTAAACCCTAAAACCGTGAAACCATCAAACCCTGACCCTAAAACCCTAAACACGAAACCCCGAAAACCCTAAACCCTAAAACTGTGAAACCGCCAAACCCTAAACCGTCAAACCCTAAACCCCTAAACCCCTAAACCCCTAAACCCCTAAACCCCTAAACCCCTAAACCCTAAACCCCTAAACCCCTAAACCCCTAAACCCCTAAACCCCTAAACCCCTAAACCCTAAACCCTTAAACCGTAAACCCTAAACCCCAAGCCTTAAAGAGCCTCAACTTCGGCGCGCCTCGTCCAGCTGGGGCCCCACCGAGGACCGAACCGCGCTCACCACCAGCGTGGCGGTGGAGGTGCCTTTCTTTGGGTAGTTACATGGTCCCTAAACAATAGGGTTTAGGGTTTAGGGTTTAGGGTTTAGGGTTAGGGTAGGAGTAGATACATGGTCCCCTAAATGAAGTGCGCGCACGCGCGCGCGCAAGAAAAAAACCACCCCGAACAGACGCAGAAGGAAAAAATCAAGGACCCAATCAAGAATAATGTGGCAGGCGCAGCGATTTTGACATGCGGCGAGGAAACCCAATCGTTCGCTGCAAGAAGGAAACTGGTCACGATTTCGTGACCAGTTTTTCGGGCCAACTACGTTTCAAAGTGCAATCTAAGAACCGTTCTTGCCTCAAATTATGAGACCAAAGTGGTCCTGTAGACCCCTAAAACACCAAATTAACCCCCAACTCCAAACCCTACACCCTAAACGTAACCCCCCAAGTCCAAAGCTTAAACCCTAAACTTAATCGCGCAACGCTGAAAAAAAACACCCAACGAAAACAAAAAAAACCGAAATCCTAAACCCTAAACCCCAAACCCTAGTTAGAGAACGGGGTCAGGGGAATGCAGGGAAGCGTGGCAGGCGCAGCGAAATTGTGTCTTTTGATCAACCTTAAGGGTCCATGTACCAAAATAGGGAATACTTGGGCCTTAAAGTGCTTCCTATATAGGGTCTTTGGGGTCCAAGTATATAACAATAATGGACCCTTGGGGCAACCCCAGCGGTCGCATCCAGGAAGCAAACTGGCAACATGGACGCAATCATCGCGTGGGCATGGATGCTCTGGCACTGCGCCCACGCACTGGTAACATGGGCGTAATCATCGCGCGTGCCTGGATGCTCTGGCATTTCGCGCGCACTGGTAACATGGACGTAATCATCGTGTGGGCATGGATGATCTGCCCTTCGCACGCACTGCTAACAAACAGGGCGTCTTTGTTTTTTTATGGGGCGCAAGCCTAAAATAATAAGGTTTAGGGTTTAGGGTTTAAGGTTAGGGTTTAGGGTTTGGGGCTTATGCTAATACATGGTCCCTAAGTATGGACCCTCAAAAGAGGGCCCCGTATGTAGCCCTTATATACACTGCACGAAGTAAGGGCCCATATATCAGAACCCTATAAGGGAGGTATGGGACCATATTAAGAGACCATATTAAGGGCCCATGAAACTACCCTCAGTGTCTTCAGAGCTTGGGCTTTAGGATCCTAGACCAAGTGGTGGTTGAGGGTTTAGGGTTTAGGGTTTAGGGTTTAGGGTTTAGGGTTTAAGGTTTAGGGTTGAGGGTTTAGCGTTTAGGGTTTAGGGTTTATGGGTTTAGGCTTTATGAGGGTTTAGAAGGCTTTAGGGTTTAGGGTTTATAAGGGCTTAGGGAGAGGCGCGGCCTGTGCGATGGGATCTTACACTAGGCGGCTAATAACCCTAAACCCCTAAACCCAAAATACCCTGAACCTTGGTTTAGGGTTGTCAATCGAACACTTCTTTGATCAGGCATGCTTCCTTCCGCAGCGGACCTCAGCTCGAGCGAGCAAAAGAGTGCCAACTTCGATGCCCCAGGCGGGGCAGGGCAGCTTTGATATTGGTAGCGGGGCCTCTCCCCATTAGGCTAGGGGGAGGGCTCCAGAAGCTACCGCCTAGGTAGGCGAAGATCTTAGCTTCTAGCCATGGCTTCAGATGAGCGAGGGCTGAAACGTTTCAGTGGAGATGATGCCGACGATGCTGGCAAGCAGCTGCGAAAGTGGAGAAACTGGGCCGAAGCCAAGATGGTCACGATGAGAGATCTGAGTGACAAGCAGAAAGGGCCCTGGATCTACACGCTGTTGGACGGGCGTGCTCTCGAATCCGTGGAGCACCTAGACCTCACAGACCTCATGAAGGAGGACGGAGCCTCCACTATATGGCGTCTCCTAGCAGAACGCTTCCCTGAGAAAGAGTCTGAAGACCAGATGGGAGAGGCTCTTGGAGAAGTGTTTTCGTTGTGCGCCAAGGACGGTGAAACGATGCAACAATGGTCGTCGCGAGTACATGATGTGTTTCAGAAGTGTGTCCGGAAGGCGAAGGTGGAGTTCCCTTCACCAGCCAAAGGCTGGATCACCCTCAACTGCGCCGGGCTTTCAGAAGAGCAGAAGGCCATAGTGAAGGCGAAGACACAAGGGAAGCTTGAACTGGACGTGGTCACAGCCGCCCTGCGGTCATGCTTTCCGCAGTACCGAGCGAGCGCCAGCAAGGCGCGTCGACCGATGAGCACTTTCCTCGTGGACCAGGACTTTTCGGAGATGCCCGAAGAGGAGACAGACAACTTCGCCGATGTCGAGGCCTTTCTTGCCGACCATGGCTTAGCCGAAGCCAGCCCCGAGCCGGAGGAGTTCCAGGAAGATGAGGCCGCGGAGGCTTTGGCTGTCACCTGGAAAGAGCGCAGAAAGGAGATCAGCAAGCTGCAGCAACGACGCGGTTTCGGCAACAGCAAGGCGTCGGAGCAGGCCAGACGCAGTTTCCGCGTGGAGATTGAGGAGCTCAAACGCCGGACCAGATGCCGAAAATGCAATCGGTTTGGACACTGGGCCCGCGAATGCAAGGCCTCTTCCTCCAGCAACTCCGGCGGCTATGGTGGTCATGGCCCTTCAGCACAGACCTCGTCGTCGGCGCCTTCGACTCACGAGGCTCATCTCGCCCAGACTGAGGTTCAGGGTGAGTACTCCTTTGTGGGCATGGCTCAGGTGTTGAATGTCGTACAGACCACTGATGCCGAGTCCTCCGTGGAACAGCTGGAGGCTGGATTGGTCTCGAGTCCCGGCTTTGGAGTGGTGGATTCAGGCTGCGGTCGCACCTTGATAGGCCGAGAGACCCTTTCAGCGTTGCAGACGATGCTAGGTCACCGAGCCGGCCGACAGCCCGAGATCTATGAGAATATCAGTGTTTTTCGCTTTGGCAACGGGGCCACCGAGACATCGGCCCATGCTGCGCGAATCCCTGTCGGAATCTCAAAGAAATTGGGGGTCATTGACGCCGCCATCATCGAGGGCCGGGCGCCGTTGTTGTTGGGACGCCCAACGCTGGAACGGCTCGATGTGGTCTTGAACTTTCGTGAGAAGACCATGCGCTTCCTAGACCAGGGCCACTCAGTCCCGATGCAAACCAATCCTGCAGGTCAGTTGCTCATCGACGTGCTCGACTTCCCGGAGGAAGATGTCAACAGCTCGCTTGCCACCAGTCAGTGCCCGAGGGTGAAACAGTCCCAACCCCATAAGGGTACCCTAGTTAGTCCCAACAGCCCTCAACACACTAAGCCTATCCAGGAAAATAAGGGTGTAGAGTCCAACCAGAGTGTCAAGCCGACATCCGTTCCTGCGTGCTCCAACTCTCCTCTCGAGTCGCCTCAGAGCCTGCCATCTCTGTCAAGCCCAAATGCCAAAAAGAAGAAGAAACTCACCTTAAAGCAGAAGGAGTGTAGATGTCTCTTGGCTCAGGTGAAGCAGCAGGAGTACCGATGCTCTTCGCAGACAGCTGTGGCTGAGCTGTTCAGCCCACCGTGCCTGGCTGAGAAGGCGCGGGCACAAGGGGGAACGGGGTTGTCGTTTGATATACATCAGGGGTGTGACTTGCTAGACAAGGAGACACAGCGTGAAGTCAGTCAGCTGTTAGACGCTGCATGTCCCGAACTCCTGTGGTGCTGTCCTCCCAGCATTCACTGGGGGGGATGGGACTACCGCAACAGGTGCCTGCGCACGCCCCTTGAGCGGGCCCGCCTTGCCAGGAAAGCCCGAGCACAGGTCAAGTTTTGCGCGCAGGAAGTGCACAGACAGCTCAAGCGTGGAGGCCATTTTGCGTTCGAGCATCCTCTCGGGTCAGGAGTTTGGAAGACCCCAGAAACGCAAGCCCTAAAACGTAAGTTTGGGTTGTATAGAACCGACATGTGTGCCTACGGCTTGTGCTGTCCAGACAGCAAGAAGCCCGTGCAGACAGCCACAGGCATCATATCTTCCCATCCGTCAGTGGAACAGCTTGCGCGCAGGTGCTCCGGGGGTCATGTCCATAAGGTTATAGCTGGGAACACTAGCCAGGGTCCGCCTAGCACCGGTGCAGGTCGTTACTGCGAGGGTTTTGTGGACGCTGTGTGGGAGCACCTGGGCCCAGCAAAACGTCCGGCCAACCATGTCGAAGCCATTGATTGGCAGGCTTTGCGTTGCGAGTGCCTAGCTGGTGAGGATGAACAGCCCGAAGAACCGTCCTCCGAAGCACCCCAAGCTGCGCCGAACAGCCCCGCGCATCCCGAACCAAGTCCTGAACAAGTGCAAAAGGTAGACCAAGCCCTGAAGCGTCTCCATGCCAACCTAGGTCACCCCTCCCGAAAGGAACTAGAGAGAATCCTGAAGCATGCCGATGCATCCTCTCTGGCTGTGCAGCGTGTGTCGCACTTGCAGTGTTCGGCGTGTTCCAACCACCAGCGGCCTGCTGCTCCGCTTCCTGCCAACACATCACGCATTACCGAGTTTAATGAAAAGATAGGGGTTGACGTTAAGTATCTTCCGGGATGGCGAGCTGACCAGACCATTCCATGTGTCAACATAGTGGACTATGCCTCGTCTCTACAAGTAATGGTTCCTATCTTCAAGCGAGAGACCGGCGAGCTCATCCGAGCCGCCGTGCGTGATCGTTGGTTGTCGTGGGCTGGACCTCCGAAGGTCCTTGTTTTGGATCCGGCGCGCCCAAACTTAGGTGAAGTATTTGGGGATTTCTGTAACGACCAAGGGATTGCAGTAGAGCAAACGGCCACGGGGTCACATTGGCAACTAGGCAAAGTAGAGCGTCATGGCGGCTGGTTCCAAAACATTTTGCGCCGTGTGTTGGATGAAATGCGGCCAGCGTCTGAAGAAGACTACCTGACGTGCATCGCGCAGACGCAGTCTGCCAAAAACAGCCTCCTCACAGAAGCGGGCGCGAGCCCGTACCAACATGTGTTTGGTCGCAACCCTCGTGTGCCCTCTGATCTCCTTCAGGACAGTCCGCATCCCGCGGCATCCGATGCTGTGTGTGCTGATCCGGCGCTGGAGCGCGCGCAAGCGGTGCGCCAGGGTTGCACGCCGCGCCGTGTTGGAGTGTCAGGATGACCGTGCCTTGCGCGCCGCGCTGCGCGCACGCCCACGTGTGCACCGGGAATTTCGGTCCGGGGATTGGGTGTACTATTGGCGCACGCAGAAGTCCGTAGATGGTTCTAGAATAGAAGGGGGAAGGTGGTATGGTGCCGCGCTAGTTTTGGGTTGTATCGGCCGTAACCTAGTTGTTGCACACAGACGCTCCATCATGCGATGTTCACCTGAACAGCTGCGCCCAGCAGCTGACGATGAAGCAGCCGTGGCAGTGTTTCCGGAGAACGAGCTGTTAGGAATCAAGGTGTTGCTTGAAAAAGGTCAGTTCCCTCGTAACCAGTTCATCGACCTCGTTGGGCAGCCCGAAGCACCGGTTCCTAGGGAAGTCGAGGGGCAGCTAGCAGAGTTCCCGGATTCAGGCCATGCCATGAATGCTGCACAGCTGTTTGAGGGTCGGCGCCAGGCGCAAGTGCCTCAGAGTCCTCTGGAGTCTCAGTTGGAGTCTCAGAACCTTCTGCAAGGCCCAGCGCACTCCAAAGCAAAACCAAGTGTCCTGGAACAACGACCCATCCTTGAAGAGCCTCCTTCTGAGCCATATGGCCCCATGCGACGCCTGACACAGAAGACCAAGTGGGAGCCGTTGGCCCGGCGTCGTGTCGAGGACCATCCTGAGGACTTCCTCGAAATGATGCAAGAGATGGTGCCTCAAATGCTGCAGGACGTACCCTCGCAGCCGTCCGAGTCCTCAGCCAGGGACGAGCATAGGGCGGCTAGCGCCAACAGTCCTAGGGGGGAAAGCTCGAAACGCGAAGCTAGCAATGAGCCCGAAGGTAGTCCTAATCCTTCCAGGTGGACACGGACGAAGACCTTCAAGTAGAACATCAGCTGAGCCTCGGCCATTTGCACAACGGCCCTGTAGAGTGCCTAATGGCTGCTTTCATTCAGAAACGCATGCAGAAAGAGATCCCTTCGACTGGCAATCAGCAAGCGCTGCAGCAGAAAGTCGATGAAGCCAAAACTGTGGAATGGGAAACCATACAAGGGAAGTCTGCGATGCGTGTCTGGAAGGGTGCCAAGGCCCGTGAGATCCGAAGGCGATTTCCGGACAGATTTATCGGGTCTAGGTTTGTAGTCACCAACAAGGTTGATGAAGATGGCGAACGAGTCAAGGCTAGGCTCTGTCTTCAAGGTCATTTGGATCCAGATTTCCATCAGAAAATCGCCTCTGGTGACTGCCACAGTCCTACGCTAAGCGGCCTGGGTCGTGCCTTGTTGTTGCAACTTCTATAGTGTCGCAGCACTGGGTCATGAACTTAGGCGACATAAAAGGTGCATTCCTAGAGGCAGGACCTCTCCCCAAAAAGTATCAACCCTTATACGCTGAGCAACCGCAAGGCGGCATTCCGGGACTAGAGCCTTCAGACGTGCTGGAGGTGACGGGAAACATGTATGGCGCCAACAACGCGCCCCAAGAATGGTACCGCACTTTCGACGCCGAAGCACGTGCTGTCAGCTTCCAGCGTTCCTCTTTCGACAGCTGTTTGTACCTTTTCCGAGACACCTCCGATTCACTTACGGGTGCGTTAGGAGCACACGTGGATGATACCATGACAGGCGGGGAAGGCAAAGAGTACAACGAGGCCATAGCTAAGCTTCGCACCAGATTCCCTTATAGGAAATGGAGGGTCGGAAACGGTGAGTTCTGTGGGGTCACGTACTCTCAAGACCAGGCTTCCTTCGAGATCACCTTTCACCAGCGCGAGTATGCTAGACATCTGAGACCTATAGCCATGACCAAGGAACGCCGTAAGGACAGAGAGGCCACAGCTAATCCCAAGGAGATTGCCGCCCTCAGAGCAGTCAACGGAGCCGCCAACTGGCTCAGCGGGCAGTCGCGCCCCGACCTGGCAGTACAAACGTCTTTTTCCCAGCAAGCTTTTCCCAATCCCAAGGTGAAGGACTTGTTAGCTGCAAACCAACTGGTCCAGCGGGCCAAACAACATGCTGAAGTAAGCATCACCGTCCGGGACATCCCTGTCAGTCAGCTAGCTATTGCCTTTCATAGCGACGCCGGCTTTGCCAATGCAGGTGCCAACGGCACACAGGCAGGCTACGTGTTAGCATTTGTGCATCGCCAGCTAGACCGGGGCCAGGAGTCAGAGTGGTCGCCGTTCGCATGGAAGTCATATAAAATGGCCAGGGTTGTAGCTTCAACGCTAGCTGGCGAGGCCCAGAGTTTTGCATCTGCCAGTGGCCTATCTGAATGGGTCAGCCTGATGACTTATGAAGCCCTTTACGGGGCCATCGATCTGCGCGAATCCTCTGCTGTGCTAGGAAAAATTCCCATTATAGGAATTACGGATTGCAAAAGCCTGTATGATGCCGTACGTTCACCCTCATCTCCGTCCAAGGTAGATGATAAGCGGGTGGCCATAGACCTAGCTATCATTAAGCAGTGTGTTGAACGTACAGGGATGAGCGTAAGGTGGTGCCCTACTGAGCTAATGTTAGCCGATGCCTTAACAAAAGATCAAGCTGATCCTGCAGACCTTTTGCGAGCGGCCCTGTGTGGTGGCTGCTACCAGCTTTCTTCAGAGGCTTCCGTCCTGGCCCAGAAGAAACAAGTGCGAGAGGCCCGTCAACGGCTGTGGCAAGCGCTTTCCGTGAAGAGCCCGAACGAGCCACAGCAGCACTCTCTGTGATGTCCGCTCGGGACATCCGCATGCAGGTCATGTATAGGTGGGCGACTCCTGTGTAGTCACTAATTAGGTCTTTTGTGGTTTTAGGTCCCCGAATGGGGTTGTTCTGTCTTTGTTAATGATGCCAGACAGTCCGCTGCAAGCCGAGTTCCTGATCTGATGGTCCGTGTTGCCGGGCCCAACCAAGCTCCCGTGCACCAATGTGTGTTTGTAGTGACTGAAGGGTAGTTAGGGTTCTTTAGGTCAGGTTTTCTAGAGCGATGGCCCAGAATAGCAAGACCTCGCCAAGCCTGAGCGAGCAGATGGAGGCCCTCATGCAGAAAGCCCGTGAAGAGAATCGTGTGAGTGAGATCCTGAACGTCATTCATTCCAGCGCGGGCAGCTCTGGGACCACTATGTCATCAGCCCCGATGCCGGGATCCATGACTGATGCCTCGAAGCGCGCCCGGGATGACACGTGGGAGTCCACGTGGGACATGGTCCCCACAATGCAGGAGCCTCCTCAATCCCAGCCATCGCCGTCAGTCGGGCCTGTGCGTATGCTCGTGCAGCATCCAGTGACGCCAGCAGCGCAGCATGACGGATACTCTACGCTTCCAGCTACAGTATTGCCCCTTGGCATCACCTCCGTGGAGGAGTGGGGTGCCACCCTTTGCGAACTCCCCAAGGTTGTCAAGCTGCGTGCCTCCTACCAGGAGCTGGTGACCAAGTCCGAGACGGACCCCGAGCTACGAACCTATTTCCTTCGCTACATTCTCAAGCACAGCGGGCCATCTCCCAAGGTGGCTGATTTCAGAAAGTATGTCGAGTGCATCCGTTATGGCCAGAATTCCAAGACGTACCTTCCCGGAAGTTCCACGGTCGAGCGTAAGATGAAGTGAGTCGGAACGTCTGTACATGCAACGGAGCCATCAGGATATAAGATGCGCTCTTCTTTCATCTTGATGTTTAAAGAAAAGAGGGAGTGTCAATCGAACACTTCTTTGATCAGGCATGCTTCCTTCCGCAGCGGACCTCAGCTCGAGCGAGCAAAAGAGTGACAACTTCGATGCCCCAGGCGGGGCAGGGCAGCTTTGATAGGGTTTAGGGTTTAGGGTTTGGGGTTTAGGGTTTAGGGTTCCTGAACCAAACGCCAAACCCCAGCCCCCAAAAACCCTTAACATGCAGAGGGTCCAAATACCCTGCACGAATACGTGTATATGAAACATGTACATGGGGGGTTTACGAAAACAGCGGGACCCAAATACAGCTCCCCAAAATAGTAGTATTCCCTGATAATAAGGACCCCAAACAGGCAATTACCCTAAACCCTAAACCCTAAACCCTAAACCCTAAACCCTAATTTCGGCAGCCCCCCATATGGCTTTAGGGCTCCATGGTGCCATGGGCTTGTGGTTGTTTGGGAACCTGAAACCATGAACCATGTGGCAGATGAGACCCTCTAGAACCCCCCACATTCCTACACCCGACAAACCTGAAAAAAACCCTAGAAGGGTTCAGGGTTTTTGAGGTTTATCCCTGAGCCTTCAAAAACCCTCTGAACCCTAAACATCAAACCCCAAACCCTAAACCCTAAACCCTAAACCCCAAACCCTAAACCCTAAACCCTCCAAAACTTAAGTCGCCACCAGCGGGCTCCGGAGCTCCGCAGCGTTGGACGCGTTCTCCAGCCTGGGAGAGAGTGGAGTTGAAGGTTTAGGGTTTAGGGTTTAGGGTTTCGGGTTTAGGGTTTAGGGTTTAGGGTTTGCGGTTTTGGGGTTGGGGCTTAGGGTTTTAGGGCTGATAGGGTTTACAGGACGTACAGGGTTAAGAAGGCTTGGCGGGAACCCCAAAACCCGAACCCTGCACCCGAAAACCTAAACCCTAGGGTTTTGGAGGCTCATATAGGGCTTGGGCACTTTCGTGGCTTGCAAGGTTTGGGGTACAGGCTTCAAAGCCCTTGTCTTCCTGGAACTCCCTTCAGCTACATGTTGACGGATTCTGTTGCTGCTAGTTGGGTTTAGGGTTTAGGGTTTAGGGTTTCGGGCTTAGGGTTACCCGTTATCTCCGCAGAGCTGCAAGTAGATGGAGTTCCTGGTAAGCCCAGCTTAGCTTGAGGCGATTTTGGGCTTGTAGGGTTTGGGGCAAAAAAGGGGTCTAGGTTTCACGGCTTAGGCTCTCGTCTTGAGGGATTCGGAAGATAGAGGGGAAATTGTGTTTGTAAGGCCCGCCCACTGCTGCACTCAGATATCAGAGGTGTGACAAGTCTCTTTGCTTGTGTATATCGCAACTTTCGGGTCTAGGGTTTAGGGTTTAGGGTCTAGAAAGAATCTCTACTTTGGAAGATACCTATTCTGAGCCTCGTATCCTTATCAGAACTTGATAGGGGAACGGTTTCTATTCCGGGGAGCCCTAAACCCTAAACCCTAAACCCTAAAGCCCAAATTCAGCTCCAAGCAGCAGCCGCAAGCGCTCCTCGAGGTGGAGAGGCAAAGAATCGCTGGAGTCCTCCGGACACTTAAGGCAACGGGCTGCAGGTCTCTACTAGGGTTTAGGGTTTAGGGTTTAGGGTTTAGGGTTTAGGGTTTAGGGTTTAAGGCTACTTGAAGGTTCGTGGGTAGTTCTAAGTAGGGTTATAAGTACCCTAAGTAGGGACATAACCAGTTATACTTGTGGTTCCCAGACTTAGAACCCCACTCATAACCACCCATGAACCTCCAGGTAGGGTTTACGGTTCCAGGCACCCTAAACCCTAAGCCCTAAACCACGAGGCCCCTAAACCCCTGCTGAACGGGAAACCCTGAACCCTAAACCCTAAACCCTAAACCTTAAACCCTAAACCCTAAACCTTAAACCCTAAACCCTAAACTGTGTCGAGGAGTCGATGACGATTGAAATCGTCCTGGCCGTCGTCTCCATCTGGGATTGAGAGTCTTTTCGTAAGCATTCGTCTGCCACGAAGACGTGAGCAACTCAGGAGCCTGTTCTCCGGGGCACCGATACTTTGCCTGATCCATGCCATCAGCCAAGAGACGCTTGGGCAACGCTTGCCGCGTAGATCCTGGCAAGACAGAAGCACGATCTGGGGGTTTAGGGTTTAGAGGTCGAGAAGTTCTCGGGTGACAGAGAACCGGTGAACATCAATGTGCAGGGGCTTAGGGTTTAGTGTTTGGGTCATTTCAGGCAATGGCCTCTTTGACTGTCAGCTACATATCTGGGGGCATGGGAGGGGAAAAGGCATGTAGGAAATCACGGCGCAAATCCTGTAAATGAAACGGGGCATGTAGCAAATCACGTCACAAATCCTGTAAATGGAACGGGGCATGTAGCAAATCACGTCGCAAATCCTGTAAATTGTACCTGTGAGTTCATTGGGCCGAAACGAGGCAATGGCCTCTTTGGTGCGTGAGTGGCAATCATTGGGCCGAAACGAGGCAATGGCCTCTTTGCTACGTGAGTGGCAACCATTGGGCCGAAACGAGGCGATGGCCTCTTTGGTGTGTGAGTGGCAATCATTTAGCCGAAACGAGGCAATGGCCTCTTTGGTGTGTGAGTGGCAATCATTAGGCCGAAACGAGGCAATAGCCTCTTTGGTGTGTCAGTGGCAATCCAAAATGGAGAGGCAGGATAGACCTATAGCCATAGACTATAGAACCTGGATCCCCTCTGTCCCCTGAGCCGCAAAAACCCTCCCCGGCGCACTTTCGTGAGCCAAAAGTGCGCCGGAGAGGGTTTTCATCGTCATCCAAAATGGAGAGGCAGGATAGACCTATAGCCATAGACTGTAGAACTTGGATCTCCTCTGTCCCTGAGCCACGAAAACCCTCCCCAGCGCACTTTCGTGAGCCAAAAGTGCGCCGGAGAGGGTTTTTATCGTCATCCAAAATGGGAGAGGCAGGATAGACCCATAGCCATAGACTATAGAACTTGGATCCCCTCTGTCCCCTGAGCCACAAAAACCCTCTCCGGCGCACTTTCGTGAGCCAAAAGTGCGCCGGAGAGGGTTTTCGTCATCCCGGAAGGAGAGGCAGTATGGACCTATAGCCTGTAGCCAATATAGGCTATAGACACTTAGACTATAGAACTCCTTTTGGATCCCCTCTGTCCCTGAGCCACGAAAACCCTCCCCAGCGCACTTTCGTGAGCCAAAAGCGCGCCGGAGAGGGCTTCCGTCATCCCGAATGGAGAGGCAGGATAGGCCTATAGCCTATATAAGCTATAGACTTATAGACCTTGGAGCTCCTTTAGAGACTCTTTGTCCCCTGAGGAAATGTCCACGTTCTGAATAATGTCATTTTATGATTCATGAAGAATAGAATACTATGACAGTAAAAAACACAATACAGCAATATAACAATATAGCAATATAACAAAATAACAAGATAACAAGATACCAATACAACAAGATAACAATATAGCTATATAACAATGAAATATGTACATATATATATATATATATCACAAAATAACAGCATAACAAATATGAAAAATATATAAAAAACAACAGAAGATAATAAGAAAAAACAACCTTGTTTTCATATGCTCCAGAACAAACTAGAACAGTTCCAGGGCGTACGTTTTTGGGGCAAAATCCCGAAACAAAGCGGAACTGTTCCGGAACTGTTCTGGAACTGTTCCGGGGCCTGGTTTTCTGCTCCGGAACAGACTAGAACTGTTCCAGGGCATGTTGTTTTGCACACTTTTTGACGGTACCCGGAACAGACTAGAACTGTTCCAGGGCCTCCTCTTTCATGGCCTCTTTCATGGCCTCTGAAATGAATACAACCTTATAATAAAATACCTTCCAGTAAGTCCCCCCGAGTCCACTCCCAGAATAAACAATATAGCCCTCAAGGCCCAAACCAAAGCTTCTAAACCCTAAACAGCCCCAAACCAGCTAAACTTCTAAACAACCCTAATCTTCAAAACCCTAAAGCCAAACCCTAAAACACCCAGCCTAAACCCTAAACTAAACCTAAATCCGAAACCCTTAAGGTTTTGGGGGTTAGGGTGTTTTGTGTCGG